GAAGGGTGTGCATAGTACCAGTCTCCTCAAGGCTCAAGATCAACAAGTGCAGACACATGACGGAGGATGTGCAGAGTGTCAGCCCCCTTAACCATAATGTCATGATCCAATGAAGTGATGTACTAGCTTTGTTTGAACTGAAGTTTCTTGACAAGGTCACAATTTCCCAGTTTGTATTGCAACCTGGTAGAGCTATCAGAAGTTATGTAATAGTAAGCAATGTTTGCTAGTTCCCGTAGATGGAATATATATCATCTCCTAGAAGATTGGGTGACTGGACATAGGTCAAAAGTTGATTACCTCACAGTGTGTAGCTACAACACAGGAACGTGGTGTATAGCTGCTTATTAGTTTTAACTGGTTTATTTATTTTGAAACATAATATAACACAAAGCAAAACATAATCCAAATACCACAAAATTGCAACGTTTTTCTTTATTAAAACCCAATTAAAAAAATAAATGACATTTTTACAATAAATTGCAATAGCAAAAATGACAATTGATTCCTCTTGAAACTTGTCAAAGCTAAATACAGGTCATATGTTATCCCAAGAAGATAAGGAAATGACAATGACTGTTATATACATTGATGCTTTTCTCTTTATTGAGAATAAAAATAGACAAAAAATAATGATTTGTTCTCATTAAAATACTCACAATTTTTGATTCTTGAAAAATATAGCCCATTCTTCTGACAAGAAATTTAAAAAATGCATACAATATTTAAGCATGGGGCACATTCCAATCAATTATTATCTACAAAACGGCAACAGAGTTTTACTTATCTACATGTAACATACATATCCAAAATATTAAAGAACCTGAATTCTTTTTATGTAATAAAAATTTTGTTCAGGGACGAAATGAGTAAAGACAGGATGATACCGGAATATCAGGTCATATGACCTATATGTATGTCAATAATATGTATATAGTTTACAAATGAATACACAGATTAGTGTTCCAGGTGTAAAGAAGTCTTATCATAACACATTACCCTGTTTTTATTCATTTTCTTTATTACCACAGAGTTAGAAGAAAAGATTTTGATATGTTTTTTTGTTTCCTAAAAAAATGAGTTTTCAAAATAATTCAGTACTTGTTTGATTGACATCAATGTCATCAACAATCAAGTTTTAATGTATGAGCATGTGCTCCATGCATCTTTCCAATCATGATTGAATCATGATATTGATACTGTGTTATAGAATATAAGCTTATTCCCTAATAAGTTTCCATGAACTGCAACTTAATTAATGTACATACTGCCCATTTCATTTCAGTGACACCAATCAAGTTCAAATCAGAACAAAATCTTAATTCAATTTTCATTATTTCAAGGTCAATTACCAACTACAGCCTATTTGACTGATCTACATATTTCTGACACTACGCCCTAATATGGACAGAAAATTATGACACTGTATGCCCTTATATAGAAATGACACTGTCATACTATGTCCATATATGGACATAATATGCTGTCACTATATTACCATATTATTAAATAACATACTCACAATATGCCCTTATAGGAACATAACGCTATAACCCTATTTGGACATAAAATGCTGACACTATTATATAAAGCCATTATATGGAAATAACATATGACAATATTATAATGCACTAAAAACTTTTACAAACATAACAGGTAGAGTCTAAGCTATTATATGGACATAAAAACATACTATACTAAGTAAGTCCTTGTATGGAAAGAACATGTTGACATAAGTTCCTATATGGAAAGGATATGATGGAACTAAGTCATTATATGGAAAGAACATGATGGAACTATGTCCACAAAAGGAAAAAGCACTGTGTCTACAAATAAAATGAACATGATTAACATGGTCCCATGTGTGGAAAACATAACAGTGGAAAGAATAGCACTATGTCTGTGTGAGGTAAACACATGCTGGTATAATGCCCATGTAAGTAAGAACTTCACACTGGCACTACAGTCCATATATGGTAATGCAATACTGTTAATATGCCCATATATGGAAACAAGAGACAAATGTACAATGTATTACATCCATATCAAGTCCATAACTTTGTGGGCATCATACCCTCCTGTGTAGCAATACTTGGTTCAAGGTTTTCTTTGCATAAGAAATAGAGTGGAATTTTCACCAAATATCCTCGTATTCCTGATAGTAACTTGTAGGACTGCTCAGGGTCAGTGTTACATAATGGATCTTTGTTCTTGTATTGTTTAAGCTCATCAAATGTTGTTGTGTGGTTACACGGAATACAGTTGAACACCTGAAAAACAAATATTATAAAAATGGTCTAAATACAATAATATTTGTGTGTGTCAACACCTCATATACTGTAAAATCAGTATTAGAAGCCATGGTTTCTATTAAAATAGTACAATGCAACAGGGGGAATGCAGCTTCTATTAGACCATCCATACATATGAGAAATGGTGAATGTTTGGTTCTCAATTATTCAAAAATAATGGGTGCAACTTCTATTGGAGATGCAGCTTCTAATACAGATTTTGTGAAAATACTGATTAGAAATGATTTCAATTGTTTCATGGTGGAGCCTATGTGCAAATATGCAATTTTAATCAGAAAATGGAACACAAATACATTCAAATATTGTCAAACAGCACCACTGCACTGCTTGCTCATGGACAATACACATTACACCAGACAAGTGAACTTCATGTTCGCATGTCAATGCAAGTTTGCATCAGTCTAGTTTGCAACACCTTGTGCTGATCAGCTCAATATATTAAAGTTCAAAACCGTGACAAATATAACTTTGTAGACTTTATGCCAACTGTTGTAGTCCATAAAAACAAAGTACATTATTGAGAACCATGGGCCAAATGAGGGCAGGCTATTCATAACTGGGTTCAGAAAATTGATGAAATTACCTTGTCAAATATTTCTGTATTTGTTTCAGCTGTTTTATTCCATGAATTATAAAAGAATTCATCACATACTGGATCTGTTACATCGAATACTGCTTTAGGGTTGGTCAGCATTCCAAGATGTTCCCTGGTAACATAAGCAAACAAATCTTCAATAAAAGATATGATATGTATCTGTAAAATTCTTGTTTTTTTTTTAAATTCACCATTTAAGGGAATTTGACTAATATGATGGATGACTGACTGTAAATCTGTCAACAGACTAACTTAATAGTATCAAGACAGATGTTTAGAATGTGCATATGACTGAGAAAGATAGTACAAGTATGATCTAAGCTTTCTCAATATGGAAATATTGTCTACGTGTATAATATCTTCCAGACAGCGACATACCAAAAATAACATCTAATATTATGATTTCCCTGCTTGCTATCTTAAAGAAATTCACAAAAATGATGACAAACCTGAACAAATTTTTTCTGAGTTCATAAGCGTAAGTACCAACTTGGTAATCCTGACCATTCATCTTTCCTGCTTTCATATTAGAATCATTAACAATAACAGCAATTTCACTGTCTCTTTTACCCAACATGCTTCTATCATTGATGTTGGCTGATCCTATGATAACAGTCCTGTCATCCACTATCATTAGCTTACTATGCACATACACCAACTCAGTAACCTGCAATTAAAAAGTTAACACCAACATTGCATAGTAAGGCTCACAAATCTGCAAATGTTTACATATTGACAGCAACCAGAGAGATCTGCTAAAATCTAGTTCTGCATTTACAGGCAAGCTAATAAATTCAATCAATTGTCAAAAACAATACATAGTCCCTGTGAGTTCACAAGTTTAAGAAATATACGTTTGAATATGAACAATCAGAGAATACGTCAGAGATATGGCTCCAAAACTGTATTCAATAAAACTAAATGGCCACCAGTCGGCCATTTTGAGTATGAACTAACAAAGTGATGTACAAAAAAGTCCCATAAATTTCAATATACATACCAAGTTTACAGAAATACATAAATGCTTGATTTTGATAAATTTTAAAACAATCATAATTTGGCCATGATGAATTGGATAACCAAATACCACATTTTCAAAAAGTGAAATGGCTGCCAGTCGGCCATCTTGGATCAACACACCCCATGTACATGTCCCACATAAAGTACTAGGCACATGCAAAGAATGAACAGATTCAGTCAAGGAGGTTTGAACTGAGTCTAATAATAAATAGTGACTCACTACAATGTAAATAACACTGACATAATTTGATATATCTACATATAATTCAATCCAAAAAAAAGATGTGACTTACCAGTTTTGTGTCAAGTTCTGAGTATGTCCTCAATCCACAGAATGAAATATAGTCTTCAGGATTCTCCACTGAATTGGAAATATGAGAATAATGTTCTATCATAAAAACTCAAAAAATACTGTTGAAAAAATGTCTAAAAGTTTTTAGAATACAAAAGTATATAATGTTGAAATTTTGAACTGGTCAAATTTTAAGAAATTTACCGGTATGAAAAATTACTGGTCAAATTTACCGGTACTGGTAAATTTTACTGGTATGAAAAAGACTTGCAGATTGATTGCACACCAGATAAAATACATTTTAATTTATTAGCTGTTAAAAACTAATTTCAGTACCTACATGTACAACAGTGTATTAGTATTAGTTTCACTGCCAATACCCCCACCCCTTCCCAAGCAAAAAATGTCTTAAATTTGTATATTAGCCTATTACCATGCTCAAAACTAATATGTGTCTTCATGTTCAGCATTGACCAGAAAGTAATAACTCAGTACATCAATTAATTGTACAGAAATAAAAAAATATAAATAATTTGAATGTATTCTCCACGCATAATTAGCATGGCACAGGCTCCCCGATAATACAAAAGCTGAAAACCTTGTTTTAATCGAAAAAAGTTCAGAACAAAAATCTGTGTGCTGAGAGAGTATTGAAGGAATATGAATTAAGAATAGGGAATATTTAAAATTAATTCAAGATTATACTTTAAACAAGAGGTTTCATCATTTTACAACCACTTCACTGCTATATAGCACAGTTTCAAAAGAGCAGTCCTGAGAGGGAATTTTCTATTTCTATAAATTAAACACTGAATCATATATAAAAATTTCATATCATACTCACTTTCTCTTTGTAGTTTTTCCAATAGTGAATTGCCACCTCTACTCATACTCTTGTAATTCCAGTGTGTGATTGCTAATATCGATGTTGCACCTGCTTCACCAACCTCCCCTTCAAATGCTGGTAACAATGGTAATACTACCATTACACGAAACTTGTGTTTAGCCCTGGAAATGAGAAGTTTACTGAGCATATAAGCTTGATTAAAATGACTTTGGTAAAATAATTGTTTGCTTGTTTTCAAACGAGCAGTAACTGAAGATAAGTACTGGCATGTGAATGTCAATGACATATCGTCAAATTTCAAACAAAATTAAGTTCGACAAGTGGTTAAAAAGTCAAATAACAATAAAACCAGCACAGCCAACAGGAAAACATTTTCAATCAAATCACAAAATAAAATGTGAAGTAGACTGAATGAAAATTTTTGAATGTGATACACCACCAGTCATAACACAGTACATCTTTCTATTTCCCTTTCATCATGTGAAATCAATTAGTTCAGATCCCCTATATCTGTGTTGTATACTGTAGAATACTTTATTTTAGCTGGAATTAATTTTCGCTGAAAAGACTTGTTGGGTATTTTGTATGGAATTTATTTTGAGTGATTTTTGAAAAGTTGAATTTCACTGGATTTTATTTTCACTGAATCATTCCTTCAGCAAAAATTAATTCCAAGTGAATTTTTACAGTAATAGAATTATACAAACAACTTTGTGTAGATTTTAACATTTATGTTATGTGCTAAGGATTTTATTGAGTGCAAATAATGCCTTTGCAGCTTTTTCTGAGAAATTCCCGATTCCCTGATTCCCTGTCATCAAGCTTTATTGCATGCATATACTAGTATTTGCTCAAATGTTAGGTTTAACAATAAAAGAACTTACCGATGAGCTTCCATTATGCGCACATACAAAGCATCAGCTATTCGGTTGTACACATCTTTATCTTCAACACATGATATGAAAAATTGATTCTAATAAAAAAATAATCAAATGCATCAAGATTAATCTATAATATGAAAAAAGTTGGATTGTTTATGGCATTTATTAACCAACATACACAAATAGTGCCATAGGGTTATGGTTACAGAGTATTGACTGATTATTGTCACTGGTGGCATGTTTGCAGTATCCACAATCACTCTCTGCCGTAGGCGCATTTTACACCCAAATTAATGGGATTACGCAAATTTTTGTTAAACTTGCTATAATATTCATAGTTCAGTATATTATATAAAAACATAAAATGAAGTAATGTGCCAAACACAAAAATGTAGATCTGCTTTTGTGAAACCTTCAATTTGGGAAAAGCATGAACACAATGTATAATTCTGTTGAAACAATCCAAATAAAGCACAGAAAACAAAGCATATTAACATTTTCTGGTTAAGTGATCATAATCTGTTTGTATCTCTGGTGTTTATTAGTAACACTGGAGTTGTTCAAGCGATCACTGTATTTATGTGTTTAATAAGAATATTCACCTGTGCAGAAAATGATTAGACACTCGGGTGATATTTGGAGAATACCCCGGTACAATACAGGTTTACAATACACTGAACACAACATAATGGCAGTATATACTGAATATATAGACATTGAACATCATGATAAACTACTAAGAACAATTTTGACTGATATACTTTTACCTCAATGTAAATATAGTGTTTAGAATCTCGAATTGCTGATAGGTAAGCCCAGTAAATAGAATTCTCTGTGTGTTTTATGCCAGCAGACCAGGTACTCACTGATCGTAAAATCTGAAAATGAAATAAACATCACAATAATTATCAAATATGCTTATAAAGATGTAAAATATAAGGTAAATACATGTAATACAGATTTTTTCTAATTGCAAAACATTTCTGTGTCTTCTAAATGATGCAGATGAATCTTCGCAAAGTGATTCAAAGTGTCAAATGTTAAGAATATGGAAATCTCTCAGAACAAAGTTTTTTTTCAGCATGAAAATGCAATATTGTAGCTATGCAGTATCCTTTTCTCCATTACAGCTCAGATTATTCCTGCAAGCAATAATCATTTTATTGTCATTTCGTCCAAAATTAACTTGTAGAAAAATACATATAAAAGATTGTGTTCAAAGGGTTATTTTGTTGTGTATATAATAATTTCAAAACATATTCAGTTTACTAGACTTCAAAATAGGGAAAGTATCAATGATAAGTCTCAAGAATACCTGAACATGCAGGAGTCTTGTATGTATAAGCAGTCAATACAAAAAAGTCCATAGGCCAAGATGTTTTTTAATACAACCTGGTGTGGTGAAACCTATCACTGAATGGTAACACTTACCTGGCAATCACAGCATACAGCACCAGGTACCAGTTTGTCTGGTAATTCAACATTGTTAGTGGTTTTTGGAATCAATAATGGAATGGCAGCGTTCACCTTGGCTTTCTCTAACTGTAATGATATGATAGCAATAATCAAATGTTGAGTTCAATTATTATATGATGACTCTCCTACA